GGCCTGGATGGTGCTTGCAGCACAGGAAGAAGCACCTGCTTTCATCACTACCCCTTCCCCACCACCATCACCATCACCAGCCCTTCCCCATCACCATCACCATCACTACCCCTTCCCCATCCCCAACACCACCCCTTCACCATCACCATCGCCACCCCTTCCCCATCCCCATCACCACCCCTTCCCCATCACCCTCCCCACCCCCTCCCCATCACCATCACCACCCCTTCCCTATCACCACCATCCCCACCCTTCCCTATCTGTCCCCACCCCCTTCTTGTCCCTACCCCTTCCCCCCATCCCCATCCATCCCTTCCCCATCACCATCCCTTCTCCATCACCATCACCACCCCTTCCCCATCCCCATCACCATCCACTTCCTGTCACCATCACCATCTTATGCCCATCATCTTATCCCCATCCCACCTTCCACATGCCATCCCCACCCCTTCCAGCTCACCATCACCATCACCATCACATCTGCATCCCCACCCCCTTCCCCATCACCATCACATCCCTTCCCCAACATCATCCTTCCCTTCCATCCACCACCCCTTCCCCTTCACATCACCACCCCTTTCCATCTGCATCACCACCCCCTCCCTCCATGCCCACCCTTCCCTAGCCATCCCCACCCCGCCCCTGTCACCTCCCCACCCCACTTCCTAATCCCTGCCACCCATCCCCATCACCATCCCTTCCCCATCACCATCCATTCTCCATCACCATCACCACCCTTCCCCATCCCCGCTCACCCATCTTCCCCATCCCATCACCATCACCATCACCATCACCATCTCATATCATATCTGTCCCCATCCCATCCCCATCACCCTCCACCATCCTGTCCACCATCACCATCACCATATAGCTCACCATCCCCATCCCCATCCCCATCCCCATCCCACCTTCCCATCACCATCCACCTTCCCCATCACCATCACCATCACATCACCATCACACCTTCATCTGCCTCCACATCCCTTCACAACATCATCCTTCCTTCCCCATCCACACTCACCATCACATCCCTTCCCCAACATCATCCTTCCCCTTCCCCATCACCACCCCTTCCCCTTCCACATCACCACCCCTTTCCCATCACCATCACCACTAAGACTTGCTCTCTAACTTTTGAATTTGACACTGGCTGTCTTGGCCAGGCCAGGCAGCTGTCATTCTCATAACCTTGGGATCCTTGAATGGAGTCATAGTTCCCTAAAGGACTGTATAGTAGAACTCCTCTACCAAAAGAGTTCCCAAGTACAGGGTTAGAAAGTCGTAGGTGAGGAGTTAAGGAGTGGGAAGCCCATGCCTCCAATTTACTGTGTGACCCTGAAGGGGCAGTCCCCATGCCCAAGTCTCCTTCCCATCTGCCAGGGGGCTGCTGAAGGAGAGGCTCTGAGGCGCCTTCTTGCTCTAGAAGTCAACGCACCTACTCTGCTGAAGAGTTGGTGGCGCCCCCGTCACCCACGGTACCAGGGTGCCTCCATCTCGCCACAGTGATGGGCGGCAATGCATTGCTGAATCCCATGGCTTCAGGGGAAATGGACCCCCTCCATCCCATTCAAATTGAGACCCAGGAGAGAAGAAAGGAGCCACCCAGCCGCATAGAGCTGGGAGACGCATCAGGGAACAAGGCCCCTGAAAGGGCTCTGCTGGCCCGGAGACCACCCCCACCCCAGACTCCCAGCCAACAAATGAGGAGTTTCTTTTGCTCCCTTGGATCAAGGCAACCACCGTGCTCATTGTTGGCTCTGAGTGCAGTAGCTCATGCAGAAGCCCCACGCCTCCCCAGCTCCCTGCATCCGGTGGGAGGAGGGGGGATGAAATGATTTACTCTGGGAACCTCCACTGTGCAGCCATTAAATCACTGGGGAAGGCGACGACATTTGCATACCACTCCCCACCACTTCCCAATGCCACCTCTCTGAAGGGCAGCACCACACACAGGCACCCCCACCCCCATCATTATTGTAATGAGAAAGAAATACACCACATGCCACACCAAGGTACCAGGCAGGAGGAAGACAGCCTCTGCCCTGAAAGCCAAAGCTCCCCACTGCTACTCACACGGCCCCTCTGTCGTGGGGCAGGTGGGGGGTGCTCCACCCACCCTGATTTCATAGACCCTAGACCCCCGTGCATAATAAGTCAACGAAGCAAGGTTCGTTCATTTTCCCCAGCGGGGACTGTAACTGCGCCGCTAATTTGCAAAGCCACGGCATGTACAAAAGTGGTTCGAATAATAGGGGCCCCCTAGTCGCTAAACTGGGGGATTTGTGCTGACTCTTACCAAGTACCGTTCCATATGTTTAAGCACTTGCAAGGCTGAAAGAAGTACACCCACCATACTCTTTACCATGGCAGCTACCCACGCAGGAAGGGGGGTGGGGGACAAAGAAGCCAGTCCCCGCATGTGTGTGTGATGGGAGACAGCGTGCACATCTTTGCCTCTGAACTCTTCCAGCCCCTCTTCCAGAGCCTCAGCCACAGGGGGTAGGTAAACCATGGCAGAAATCATCCGGAAAATCCAACCAGCTCTAAAGGAAGCTCTGGTTAATTCCTCTGAACCTCTCAAAACCAAGTGTAGGCAGCAAAGTATCTTTCAGGAATTTTTTTTTTTTTTTTTTTTTTTTTGCCATCCCTCCTAACTAGTGCTAAATATAGAGTTATCAAACTGTCTTTTCTTTATGTCCCTGGTGGGGACCAGTGAAAGACTTGCATGTGCTTCCAGGGACGGGGCGATGGCACTGGGGGTTCTGCCCAGGCGGCATTTGTTGGAACTGAAGGAGCTGCCCTGCTGAGACTCTCCCAAAGAGCAGCAGGGGAGCAGGCAGAGCAGGGGAGCAGGCAGAGCAGGGGAGCAGGCAGAGCAGGGGAGTCGGAGCAGAGCAGGGGAGCCGGCAAAGAGCAGGGGAGCAGGCGAAGAGCCGGCCAGCAGCAGGTTTCAGTGGGAGCTCACCTTCCCTCCCAAGATGGGGCCTTCCAGAGCCAGGCACGGGCTCTTCTGTCGCGGGGGGAGAGGGCGGGGGGTGGGTGGTAGGGGGACCATCCTGTTCTCTTACAAAGCATTAGGCAGGCAGCTTCTCTGAGAGACTTCCGATATTCACTTATAAGCACATCCAGGAAAATGCTGACCCCCGTGGAGAAACAAAATAGAGACAAAACTGCAATTTTCAAGTCCGAGGGACTGTGCACTTTTGCAAACAGGTCCCAGGGCTTCAGCTAAGAGAAAACAGCCTCGGCCCCAGCAGCAGCCCCTCTCGTGTACCACAGAGGAATGCCGAAAGCAAAACAGCTATCATAGCTGCTCCTTAGCCAAGCAGGCAAGATTCATCCACGTTAAGCCCGATGCCACTCTCTAGGCTGAACCAAAGCCGAACACTGACGGAGATCTCCAATAGAAGGTTTTCTCCAAGTCGAAGGTGTTGGTAAATATTTTGGGTCACTTAAGGGCATCTCAAAGGAAGCCGACACTGACTTTCTTCATGCAAACAAAACACATCGAACATCAAGTTGACATGCAAGGTTTGCTCCTAACTGCAACCTTACCAAGACGGTGAAAGCCGAAAAGTTAAAGCTGTGTTTTTCTACTGCATTCTGCCTGTCTGTGCGGTTTGTTTGTTAGGGAAATGAGGAGAGATTTTTCTAAAGCAAAAGCTACCTGTTCCCAAGTCATGGGTCTTGATTTTAAAAGGTTTAGGGAACTGAGATTTCAAAAGCACATGAAGGCTGCTCGTGACTGTTCCTGGGGTTCATCTGAGCCTTTAGGATTTTCTCCACTGCTTGCATGGGGTGGGGGGAGGGGAGGAATTGTCATTTTAGGATACGCTTTCTATAGAACCAACATGTAGCCACACCAAGGTGGGCAGAAAGCTTTCCAAACTCCAGCGGAGACAGATAATACCTGACTATTTTGCTTTCCCCACTCACTAGGATTGGGCGACGACTGAGATGGTTCAGCAGGGAGTCCAGCTCCCCGGTGCCCAGGCAATGGCTCTGGGCAACACCGCGTTCCAGGCTGCCCGGCGCGTCCTGGGCTGCTTGGCCGCCGCTACCCTCTCCCGCCCGCCTTGGGGTCAGGGCGCTGGCGTAGCCCGCGTTTGCAGAAGGCGAGCAGCGGGCTGCTCTTTGGCCAAGGGGAGGCCATTTGGCGAGGGTGGGTAGCTTGGGGAGGACGGTGTGAAAGCAGGGGAGGGCCGCGGGGCGTGGGGAGGGGCTGCGGACAAGCCAGACAGCGCCGGCCGAGACATCTCCGGGGCCCGCAGGTGTCCCGGGAACGCACCACTGTGCGACCGCAGACAGCAAGGCACTGGAGAAGGGCTGCGTCGACGCCCCAGCCCAGCAAAACACCCGGAGGAAATGGGACCTGGGGGGACGTTGGCCCAAGGCAGGGCGGGGAGAGGGCTCGATTCCTGGAGGCGCGCCCCCACCCGCCTCGAGAGGCTTAGTGCCCCCGTCTGTGGCCCTCGTGCGCCCGAAAGCATCCGCAAGGAAGCTAGGGGTTTGGGGGAGAAGGCAAGCGGGCTCTCCCCAGGCGCTGGGCAAAGGGGAATGGGCCGGGGGCTCCTGGGTTCCCAGGGTCTCCCCAGGTCTGTTCAAGTTCGGGAGATGCGCGCTGCCAGGGACTTGAGAAGGAAGCAGCCGCCCGTTCAGCCAACTTTGTGCGCGGCGGCCAGGGTCGGGGATGGGGTCCGGGAACGCGTTACCTGGGCACCGGAGCGCAGTCAGCGCCAGCAGGAGCCCGAGCGGCGGCGCCCGGCCCGGGGGCGGCATGGTCCTCGGCGCGCAGTGGGCGCGGCGCGGGGCTGCTCCTCTCGCGCGCCCGGCCCGGCCCGCGGCTCCCGGAGCAGCCCCCGGCGGCTACGCCCGGGCGCCGGGCATGGCTCGCTCCCAGCGCGCCGCTCCTCCCCAGACGCAGGCGCCGGCGCTGGCGGCGCTTCCTCAGCTGCGCCTCTGCGCGCTCTCCTGGGCTCGGCCGTGCGTTGGCTGGGGAGCTGGGGCCGCCGAGGCTCAGCGCCCCGCGCCCTGGCCGGCTGCCCCGCACTTGGCCCGAGTTACGCGGCCCCCGCCGCCGCCGCCGCGGCTCCTGCGCCCCAGCGCCCGTCCCATCCCGGTCGTGCCGCCGCCGCCGCCGCCGCCGCCTCTGCCAGCGCCAGCTGCCGGCCGCCCCTCAAGCCAGCGAGAGAGTGAGCGAGCGAGCGCCAGGAGGAGGAGGAGGAGGAGGAGGGGGAGGAGGAGGGGAGCGGAGGGCGGGGCTGCGGCCGGGGGAGGGGCCGCCCGGGAGCCGGGCACAGGCAGCAGCCCGGCCAGTAGGCGGCGGGACACGCCACTACTAGGCGGCCCGGGGGAGGGCGCCCGGTCGAACCCTCCCGGGGTCGCGAGCGCTGGCGGGGACATGGGCTGCGGGAGGGGTGCGGAGTGCAGAGAGGGGATGCCCGGCTAGATCCGGCGTCTTGGGGCGCAGCGGTAGGAGTTGCCAAGGTCGAGGGGTGAGGAAGCCAGCGGAGGGTCCCCGGGATGGGGCAGCGACCTCTGGAAAGGTGGTGTCTGCCGGGGCCGGAGGCTGCGAGGCTGAGCGTGGACAGGACGTCCCGGGTTAAATGTGGCACAGTTAGGGAGTGCCTGTGGGAGAGGAGAGGCGGGAGGGCCTCTGGGAGGCCGGGGCTGTGTGCGAAGTCTCTGCAAGGCACCGGGATGGGGGCTGGGGGCGCGCAGGCTGGGTGCGGTCACCTGAAACACAGCGAAGGCGGCCTGGGGATGTCCACCCGTGTGAGGCAGGGTCCCTTATTTACCCGGGCTAGAGGATGCGCCTTCCCATTTCGCGCAGGTCCTAGGAGCACGCGGAGGCAGCCAGGAGTTCTCCTGGAAAGGTCAGATTCCCTGGTGGCCCCGGGAATGAGTTCCCAGCGCAGGGTCAGGCAGTGATGGTGCGGAGGTGTTGCGCAGGGCCGGGCTACTGGGTGGTCGGATTCTTCCATCCAGGGGCAGGCACGCAGCTAGAGTGTGGAGGGAGATCACAGGTCACACGGAGCCCCAGTATCTATTATCCCAGGAACAACTGATCCTCCTGGGCGCCCCGACCCCAACCAGGGCAAAGCCACGGGGCTAAGCCGAATGAATGAGTCATGCTGGGAGCATGTGGGGGCGCCTCCAGCAGCGCTCAGATGCCTTGAAATCTTCCCCACCACGCTGGGAGGACAGGGGACATGGGGGGTTGTCCACCTGGGAGGGTGGCTTAGAGTCCTGGCTCCACTCCAGTCCCCATCACACCGGCCACTTGCTCTGCCATCTCAGTTTTCCATGAAAAAGTGGGTCAAACTCTTTGAAAATGGTCAATAAGGCAGCGTGGGGTGATGAAAAGATAGATTTGGGGAGACTCTGGAGTCACAGAGTCTTGACTGAGAATCCCAGTTCTGCCACTCCTTAGCTGTCCAAGCTGGGGCGAGTCCCTTATTCCTCCCTGGGCCTCAGTTTTCTCATCTGAGAAACGGAAGTCTTTGCACATCACCTGGTGCCCCCAATAACATATATAAAGCCCCTGACCCAGGAAGTCGGAACTCATTTAAAGGAGTCACTGTCAACATTATCATTCTCATCATCATGGCCATTATTATGATAGATCTGATTTTCCTCTGCGGGCCCAGAGCTCACATCAGAAGAACAATCGTCCCCACTCCCGGCTGCCAAGAGGGGATGGGGGACAGGGCACCTGCTTGATTAGTACAGACAAGCTCATTAGCAGAGGCAGCACTCAGTTCTTCCCAGATAAAAGAAGGAAGAAAGCCAGGGGCACGTGGTGAGTCTCCAGCCCAGGTTAATTAGGGGACGTAAAGGGATTTTCCCATGGCTGTTAATCGCCTTCCTTTGCAGGGGGCTCATGCCCAGGCCAAGCCCCCTTTGGGCTCCCTGGCAAGGCCTGCAATGTGTGGAGAGCCATACAAGAGGCTGGATGACGGGATTGGGGGTCTCCTCAGGCCTGGGGTGGCCTTGCAAGGGACCTATCTGTCCCCTTTCTGTGACCTTTTCCCCAGATAAGAGGATGATCCTGGAGACATGGTCAGGACTCCCTTAGGGTCCTCTGTGCCCAGCTGCACCCAACGCCTCTTTCCCATTCACTCGTTCATAACATTTGCAGAGCTGAGCCCCTACTGTGTGCCGGCCTCTGCAGGGGATGGTGAAGCAGAAATGAATGGACAACAGCAGGGGAGAGCCACAGCAGGAGTGGCCACGGGGTGCTGGTGCCAAGGTGAACCATGTGTTTGACCAGGAAGCAGGTCAGTGAGGGCTGGGAGACTGTGGCCAAAGATAAAAAGTCATTTTCTGGCAGGGGTAAGGGGTCATTCTGTGACTTAGTGGCAGTGCTTGGAGGGGGTTGTGAATCAGTCCAGCAAGTCCCCAAGCCAGTGGTCACACAGTCCCAGGTGTGATGGCAGATGACAGTTGCCTTCCCCTCACCCCCATACTCAGGACTACCTGGTCATACTCCAAGAAAGGACCTTTTAGTGGGAGGAAGGGCACTTCCCCACTAAAATATGCCGATGATGGTTGAGCCAGACACTGAAAAGAGGAATCTGTTTTTGAGGGTGGCTTTTCTGTGCCCCAGCTGTGTGACTTTGGACAAGCCCCTAATCCTCCCTGAGCTCATTTGTGGGGTAGGAATGAGAATTCCAGCCTGGCTCAGCCTGTCTTGTGGTTGGATGAGGATTTCTGCATATTAACCAGGCCCCTGAGCCTGTATCTCTAAAGGGCGTATTTCTGGAGGAAATAAGCAGGGAAAAAAACAAGCCTCCCCGGATTCTGAAGGGCTGCGGGGGAATCTGAGAGGCTGGCGGCAGCAACGAGGAGACCCCAGGGCTGAGCGGAATTCTCCTCTCACTCCTACCCAGACTCTCGCCCCCAGCCTGCTGGCCTCATAGCCTGGGCAGGACCGTAAGAATCACACAGCCTACAATCTCCTCCAAGGTATTGATGGGATACTGAGTCCAGGAATTGTCCTTCCCCTGGATCTGTAAGTGTAGGGAGGCCGACTCGACTAAGAGCCAGCCTCGAGCCCCAGCACAGCCGTGCAAGGCTTCCTCAGGCCCCACCATCCCCTGCACAGCAAGAGACTGCCTCCAGCACGGATTGCTCCCGGTCAGTCCCTGCACCCCAGCTCTGCTGCAGCTCAGCCCACGCGCCCGCCAGGCTACCGGCGAAGACCAACATTGCCATCTCGTGGCTGAAACTGGAACTGCAGGTCTGGAGGGCGCTGCAGAAGGAAGACAAGAGGTGAGGGTTGGGGTGCGGGTCGGGGTGAGATGGAGGCGAATAGGCAGAGAGGTTTCCCCACCTCAGCCAACTGGCAGCGGCAATAACAGACCCCTTTGCCTTTGAACGCCAACATGCAGGCAGCTGCTGCCGGGGTGACCACCCATTGAAATTCTTTGCAAAGCCTGGGACTGTTTGTTGCCCAATGCACACATTGATGTTTCTGGCATGTTCAGGGAACACAGAATTGACTTAGATTGCATTTGCACCACAAGTGAGTGGTAGGGGAAAGGGGCCTCTCAAAATAGAAGCCAAGCTCACTTACACAGGTAATCAAGGATTTCCTAGGAATAAAGAATTTCAAGAAATCAGTCACTTGCACACCTGGACATATGGACCCATGATGGAAGGAAGGGGCCTCTTTATGGCAATTTCAGTCATCCATCTCACTCTCTGTCCCCTTTCCTGCTTTATTCTTCTTCGTAACAGTGGTTACCACCCAGTGTCATACGTACAGAGAGCGGCCCAATCAGTCCTGGTTATATTAATGTATGAATGAAAGGAGCTCAGGGCTGGACAGTACGGTAAGCGCTGAGCCCTGCGAGGTGAGGGAAGCCCCACTGAGCCCATGAACACTCAGACCAGAAAGGACTTGAGTTCCCTTCCAGGTACACCCCCAACTGGAAGGAGGCCACAGGGGAAAAATGGCTTCCTGGTGTGTTTGAGCAGAAAGCACCTTGAACAGCTCTGACCCCTGGCTTCCCAGTATAAAATGATTCCTGGACCGGCAGGGGCTGGGAAGGGTGTAAGGGGGCAGCCAGGGGTGAAGGCACCATTGGGATGGGATTTTGGAGCAAGTGTAAAGTGTGCTAGAGCAGAACAAGACTAATAACAAATAATAATGATAATAATAATGATGCAGCACTGAATACGTACCAGACACTGCTTGAAGCAGTTTGCACGTGTGTTGATTTTAATGGTGGTAAAATGCATGTAACATGAAATTGACCGTTTTAATCACTTTAGAGTGTACAATTCAGTGGCACTTAGTACATTCACAGTGCTATGCAATCATCACCACTCTCCAGTTCCAGAACTTTTTCATCACCCAACCAGAAACCTGGTACCCAGTCACTGCCCATTCTCCCCTCCCTTCTACCCTTGGCACCCACCAGACTACTTTCTGTCGCTATGAATTTGACTGCTCCACTAACTAATTTCAGTGGGATCATATAGTTTGTGATGTTTTGTGTCTGGCTTCTTTCACTTAGCATTGTGTCTTCAAGGTTCATCCACGTTGTACCGTGTCAAAGCTTCACTCCTTTTCATGGCTGACTAATATTCCATTGCATGGATGGAACACATTTGTTTATCCATTCATCTGTTGATGAACATTTGGGTTGTTCTCTACCTTGGAAACACTATTATGAATAGTGCTGCTATAAACAGTGCTGTATAATTTTCTGTTAGAATACCTGTTTTCAATTCTTTTGGGCTTGCGTGTTTTGATTCATTTAATCTCATAACCATTTTATTGGCTGAGAAAACTGAAGCACAGAGAGGCGAAGCAATTTTTCCATGGCTGCACCGTCAGCTAGCAGACGCTAGCTAGCTGGCAGAATCGCGTTTAACCCCAAGCAGTCCAACCCCAGGGTCTGTTAACCAAGATGGATGAGTTAAGCCAACCATCCCTTCTCCACCCACCATGCCTCGGCACAACCCAAGACTCCCAGGAACTAGATGCAGCCCTGTCTCCCTTCCCAAGAGGCTCCCTATTTGAGTGGCAACATGCCCAGCCCTGGGGACGGGGTCAGAATCCTAACAGATCTCAGCCTACCACATTCCCTCAAGCCAGGGACGGTTCTGGAAGAGGCATGGGGGCCCAAGTGACCAATGAGAGGTAAAGAGGAGCTGGAGGAGGCCCACTTTCCTTGATCAAACAAGAGAGACAAAGTTGCTTTTTGCCCTCTACCCTCTTCCTTCTTGGCAACTTGTTGAGTACAAGTGTGATGGGAAGGGCCCTGGCAGCCTCTTGTGCCCATGAGGCACCACAGTGCCCACTGACAGCTACTGGTGGGAGAGTGGAAAGACAGATCCTGGCAACATCCTCAAGCCAATGTGTCACCCCAGAAATGCGGTCCCAAGGCCAGGGGCATTCACTGAGCTGACACTCTGCATTGAGCTGATGAACTGCATTGTTTAAACACTGCTGTTTGGACATCCGTTACTTGCAGCAAAAAGCAGCCTAATTAAGAAAGGTGGTGTTTTAGTCAGGGTCTCCAGAAAGACAGAAAACCTGTAAGTCCCAGCACTCCGGGAGGCTGAGATGGGTGGATCACCTGAGGTCAAGAGTTCGAGACCACCCTGGCCAACACAGTGAAACCCTGTCTCTACCAAAAATAAAAAATAATTAAAAAAGAAAAACATATACACAGAATGAAAGCTATGCAAAGGGATTTATTAGGGGCATCAGCTCACTTGATTGTGGAGGTGGAAAAGTCCCATAAGAGGCCATCCGCAAGCGGGAGACCCAGGGAAGCCTGTGGTGGGGCTCAGTCCCAATCCGAAAGCCTCAGAACCAAGGAAGCTGATGGTGTAACTCTCAGTCCAAGCTGAACATCTGAGAGCCTGCAAGGTTGGGGGCTGGTGTGAGTTCCAGATTCCAAAAGCTGGAGAACCTGGAGTTGGATGTCAAGGGCAGGAGAAGAAGGGCAACCCAGATGCGGAAGAGACCAAGCGTTCACCCTCC